GGGAAAAAAAGCCACTGGGAGTCCCGTTTGCTGACAGCCGCTTGGGAGTGGTTGTATTCGCCAGGCAAACATCTGTGCAAATGTCGCGTTCAGCCGAGGTGCTCTGCTTGAGACAGTGGCTCGGTCTTGGCGAGTGTGGAAGGGAAGACCGGCTTGTACAAATGTATGCAGTAGGTGAGCGGCTGCTCGGAATTTTGTTCAGAACTTCTGCTTTGCTGCTTCCCCAGATTTAAATAAATATTTTCAGGGTGAAATTTCCGAGGGGGAGAGAAGAAGGGAGGCTACAATAAGTAGCGCGGCTCTGCGGTTTGTGCCTTAACCAAAACAGTTCAGGGACCGGCACCCCGCCCCCTACTGGTGGGTGAGAGCACTGGGCAAACTCCAGCGATCCCACCTGAGCGGCAGAGACCCGGTGCCATGGTTGGGATCCCTGACCGGCTCCCGCCCCGTACTGGGTCCATCTCCTCGGGGACCAGAAAGTTAGAGTAGAATGAGGCCTTCCTAGCAAGCCAGCTGCAAAGTTGGGCCCTGGCCGTCTCGTCTGCCGGCAGGAGTTGGCTTGCAGGGGCACCAGTCTGTGGTTGTGGATTTGCTTACTTTTGGGGGGATACGTGGTATGTATGTGTGTTTGTGTGAGCACACACATGTAGGAGAAGTTCAGTTTTGCATGTGTTTTAAATATATAGCCTTAGGGGAGAATGCCTAAAGACACGTATTTGTCTCAAAATGGGTTGGAGGTCTGTGTGTACTTGCTTCTGTATGTATTTGTGTGCGTGCAGGTGTGGACACGTGTGTGAATCTGCGTTTCCCTGAATGGCAATCTGTGAGAGGGTGAGGGATTTTCATACCATGCACATGGCTGGCATATAGCAGGCTTGCAATAATAGTGAGTCCATAATTGTGTTGAATGCGCTTGTTTGTGTCCTTGTGAAAATTGGTAGAGTGAGTGTGCGACCTCAAAAGGGGAGAGGCTTGAAAGGTCATGTGGGCTAAGGGGCTACTGTGTTCCTCTCCTCTGTAAAAGCAAACAGGTTCAGAGTGGGCTCTGGCCCTGAACCGGTCATCCCCACGTGCTGGCTGGCCCATGCAGCCGACTGACCAAGGCAGCTTTGCCTGTCGCTTGAGTCTCCCCCAAATCACAGGCAGTAGCCTGCTCTTCCCCCAACACTGAAGTTAGGCACGTAGGTCCTGCAAGCACTGACCGGTTCCCGAGGAGGACTTTAGTTGGATCCTGAAGGCAGAGCCTCCAGAAGGTGAGAACTGTCCGGGGTGCAATTCCTCTTGAGGTGCAGAGGTGGAGGGGCACTTGGTGCGGCCCCAAGTGGAGGACTCCAGTCACCAGCAGTCCCAGCCTCCTGGGAATCCCTTTAGACAAGACCGAGAGGAAGCCTCCCGGGCAAATTACCTGCCTAGCTGCCGGGTACAGGACCGTCGACTGGGAGGGAATCCCTGATAATTTAGTCCAAGCGATCTGCTTTTACCCCAATTTTACCAGGAACCACAGATTTCACTAGAAATGAAAAGTCCCAAGAGCTCCCAGCGCTCTAGGATCGCGGGGCTAGACCATCCCTAATTGCCTCCATCCATTCCAGACGAAGATCGGCAGGCCTGGTCCGCCGCTTCCTAGTTGCCGAGTAGGAACGGGTTCGGTGCCTAGAGGCACCGCGACCTGAGCCGGGAAAACTTCAATTTCCTCCGAGCTGAGTCCAGCCGCTTCCGATCGGCTTGCAAGTGTCGCTTAAAGACTGAGCTAGAGCCTCAAAGGGGAAGGACCCTGCAGGTTAATTTACAGTCACAGAATCACGTACAGTGCACCACTCGGAGGCTTCCCCTCGGCCGGACCCTCCCAGCCCAGGCGCCCGCTTACCCTCAGCCGGAACTTTCGCCTGCGGGCTGGTGCGCCCAATCTCCTCTGAGGTCCCTTCTCTTCTCTTCTCCCGCTTCGTCTCCGCTGCAAACCCGCAGAAGCTCCGCGCCCAAGTTCGCGCAGAGAACTTTGCCGCAGAGATCTTTGCTATGCAGACACGCGGGCCATCGCGTTGCGCACCTGGATCTTAGGGCTCAGCGGCTGTCCTGGGGACAGCGAGTATGCCCAGTGCATCGCACTCGATCCATTTCGGGCACTGACACAACCCAAGGAGTCCGCGAGTCGGTATATTTCCGCGGCCCCCTTTATTCCCCACCCTTGACATTTCCGATTTCACGTATCGAGCCCCCCTCCCCGCCCCGCACAGAGCCACGCATCTTCCATCCTGACCCTGGAGGGGAAGAAAGGTGAAGCCCAGGGATCCGCCCGTAGTGGCTAGTGTTCAGGGCGAGCAGGCTGCTCCCACCTCCCAGTCAAGAAAAGGGACCGAGGGCTTTGGGGGAAGGCATTTCAGTATTCAGTTTCCACCTTTGGACGCACACAACTTGTGTGTGGTGGAAGGCTGCCCCAGATTTCTGGAACTCACTGATCCCC